GCCACCCTCAAATGTTTGATTTCTTCAGCCATGGTCAGTTTTAGCAAATTATGCAACAAGGCCCCCAGTTATCACAACTTGATCAGATTGTTGAGCAGTTGCATGTAAAAAAAAAAGGAAGAATCTGGTATACAAGTTAAATTTTACATAGTTTTACATACCTGTATTCTGTGCTATAATGAAGGCCAATGATGATGTTTCTGGTTTTACTTTGAGAAATCCAACTTCGTGGTGCATTGGAACTCCTTTTTCCAGATGCCATGTTCTAGAGCTTAAAAATGTATCATTGGAAACATCTTAATGTCAGCATTGGAGAAAGGCACAGAGTGAATCTTGATCTCATGTTTAATTCAATCTTTGTTCTAAAACAATAACATATCTAAAAGTGATTTCTATTGAAAATGTAATTATTCATCAAGAGGCTGAGGCATTCCTCTCCAAACACCTGTCTTAGTTTTGTTCTTGTTGACTTTATATTAAAAGATCACACCATAATTATTACGATCAATTGTCATAGGAGCATAAGGTTTAAGGGGTCACCAGGGGGGGTCCCTATTGATATCAGGTATGACTAACAAACCTTCCCCATGTGTCTGTAAAAAATAGACAGAAGTGTTTATTAATGTGGAACATTGGTTAACAAGCCACAAAATTGGAGCCAAGAAAAATCAGAAAAATAATTAAAAAAAAAAAATAGCTTTTGCAGGGCAAGACAATTATTCTCAGATCAACTTTGTTACAATACTGATATGAGTTATTGATCAAAATATAACAATCCAGCTGGTCTCACTTGCTCTTCTCTATTGAGAATGGGAACAACTGGTGAACACTCTTGACAGAGGTGGAGAGAAATAGGGAGGGATGGGTGCGTGAAAACTGTCATGAGAAGCTGTAGAAAGGTAAAGTGCAAATGAGACCAGATGAATTGGACAAATGCAGTCACTACTTCCACAAAACTTAGCAGCAACCGGATTTTCCAGAATTAAAACATTTTTACTCTATGAAATGTACAGTGCACCCTGTAGATATGTTGTTCTAAAGCAGTTTTTATTGGTATTTTGGCTGTAAAATGCATATTTTACAAAATTGTGACCATTGTTCTTGCCTGTAAGAGAGCATCGGCTGTCCCACGTGATCAAAGATGATCTCTTCACCGTACATGAAAGGAGAGATCGTTGGATAGACGCCACAGCCTTCACCTTCCCACTTTCCAATAAGCCAAGAAACCTTGTTCAGTGCACCGTGCAAGACTGGCTACAAAAAAAAAATTGCCACGTAATATAAGTCTAATACAGTAAGAGAAATGTCGATTACAGCATAGGACCGCTTAACCAAACATGTATATTTTGTTTGACCAACGTTTTGTTTTCATCTTTTTTGTCCGTATCTTTTGACAACAAGAAACACCAGTAGCAAAAAAGTAATTTATGTTAGATTTCCATAATTATAAAAATAATTTAAAAAATAAATACCTGATCGCTCAAAAACGTTTTTGAAAATTCTTTCGTGGAGAAACATAGGAAACAAATCTCAGCTACCTGACAGCTAAGCAATTGGGTTCTCACGATTTCTACAATAGCGACGCCTCAGTTTTTAAAAGAGAATACGAAACAAACGAGATAAAGTATAAAGCTCACCTTTCCTGAATTATGTGAACTCATCGTTCTTCCGGACAGTAATTTGAGGACAGGGGACGTACGACCGACACAAGTTCGTGGAAAACTTCTGCACGCCGTATGCATAAGAAGCATTCCTCCTCGACTTTTGTCAGCGAGCGAATGCCTCTATTTCACCACTGGTGTTAGTAAGCTCTTTTAGAAAGATTTTCTGGCTATTGCCTCTACCTCTTTTTGGGTCAAATCGAAATATGATAAATACATACGTTTCTTTTTTAGTCCAGACGCAAAGACAAAGGTAATCCCATTGTCACGCATCGTTCATTCCGGTTCTTCAAAACAAAAACAGCTCAAGGAAGAGCGCAAACTGACTGACCATACCCTACTGAGAAATAATCTCCCCTTGAAGACCGCATAGATTCTTGGGAATAACGCGCCGTTGGAGCTAAATTCAAACGAATGTTTTTGTTCGAATTTTTGCACATTTCATGCAAGATTACTTTTTTTACGTATGAACTGCTCTTCTTATCTTAGAAAGTGGTACTTCTTCTCAAATGTGAATGAATTATGCCTGTGGTAACGAGATCGTGTAAAAAACAAAAGGGAAGACCGAGGATCGAAGACGCGACTCCAGCGACTTCATGTATCTATCGTCGAAGGTATCCGACACGTTCCTCTGTAAAACGAAAGATACCGGTAATTCAACAAGAAAAGGAGAGAAATGACTTGGAACCACCCTCGAAGGTGAGAGATAGTGGTTTTGATGGTATTCTCTATATTTGAATGAAAGGATTATCTGAAAGATGTGGAGTCTGGTCTAGATCTGTTCCATAATTTTAACGACCAGCCCACACATTTTCGTGGCAAAAAGAAATTGATGAAATCGATTTCTATTAAAATAAATCTTAAAGCCATGACATGTATTTACTATAGATGTTTATTGTTATTTTGTCAGAAGTATAATTTAATTAGCGTAACCACTGCGATCTCTGACAATTTGCCACTGACGCGTGTTGACAAAAGTAAATTACCGGCGCACAATTATTATATTGTATCAATTACTGACAACAATTTTCAGAAAACAATTCGTCATAAATTTCCTTTGGAGTATGGATTCATCATAGTTGTCACACGTAGTTAATTTAACTAAAAATGAGATATTGGCAGCAGTTGTGTGTCAAAATATCTCTTAAAATTTAAACTTCGTTTGGATTTTATGTAACAGAGGGCTGTAAGCAACAGATCTTCCAGAAATATTTCTAAATCTTCCAAGAAGTTACCCTTTCAAGACATTGGTAACACTTTAAACCAAGATCAAGGTTGCCATAGTAAGTCACATGCAAGCAAGATTTCAAGATGTGTGAGTCACAATAATACCAAGAGAACAGCCAAGTCACAACCAAACAAAGATGTTGTTAACAATGGAAACTATGCAGAGAAAAGAAGTCCCTCTTTAGAGAAAAATGATGGTGTTCCTGATGGCAATGTTGTGGATCCCAAAACACCTGCTGACTGCATTGCTGCAAGGATCAAGAGTTACAGTGCCTTTCGTCGCAGTCAGAAGAAGAACAAAGTCAGAAGTGATGTGGATAAAGAGAATGCAAGTTGCTCTCCAGTTGACCCAACAGTTACATCTCTCCCACAAGAGGTCAGTCCTACTTCTGCAATGGATGAGGAAAAGGAATCTGAATTTAATTTCAATACTGATAGTGATGAAGATATTCTCTGGAGAATGAGCAGGGGTTGTAATGTACAGAAAGAGGATACCACACCACATTATAAGGTCAGCAAAACAAACATTTAATAATAATTTATAAGAAATGATCTTATAAGAATATAATCAGTGATAATGATTTAGCAATGGCCAACAATCCATGAGGTGGCTGTTTCTGTCCACTGTTTCCCAGTTGAATTGGAATTTGGAGTGTTAGTTTTTGTATGTAGCGGGTAAAGGAAAACTGGTGGATTCATATCAAAACCCTCAGCAAGGAGGAGAACCAACAACAAGCTCAATCCACATGTGACACCACATCTGGGGAATCATAAGAATACTTGAACTGTCTCAAGGCCTCTCATGTCATGTTCTTGGTAGAGGTTAAAATGAATTATTCAAAATACATTTTTTTTAATTTACTCAGAGATGTTTTTTGGAATGGTGAATTGTTGGTAAGATTTATTTTTTTTTTTTTATGAGGAGCAATTGGTGCCAGAATGTTTAACACCTTGTAGGGAAAGGACAAGATATTTTTGAGAATTTCAAATGGAAAGTTGGGCGGGATTTCTTTATTATTGGGCCCCTCAGAAATATCTTCTGTTTATTGTGGGTTATACTTTGGTATGTTTTTACTTGATTAAGCATAAAAATAATCAGCCAACAGTAGTTTCATTCCTTGTTCTTTTATTTGTAAATTTCAGTCAGTTGATCAGAGCTCTTACAAGGCAAAGTACTTCACTCTTCTATCTGCAATGAAGCAAATACAAAACACATTTCTTAGGGCTCAACAAAATGCAGAGAAGAATGTAAAAGGTATCTCCTAGTTAATCAGCTGACTATTTTTGGTTGTTTGCATTTGGCACTTAATTCTGACTGTGTTCAATTTTATTTTAGGGTGAACTTTATTGTTTTGAAAATTATTTTGGATAGTTACCCTTCTTGAATACTAGGTTTATCTTATCAAGGGTAAGCCTTGATGTATAAATTTTATGATTATTTATTTTTGTTTGAAAAAACTCAAGTCTAGTAGAAGAAAAATATTCAGTGTGGTTAGGCTTTGGAAACTGAGAGAAATTTTGTCATCATTACAGTTAGTACATTATAACCAGTAGTCAGAATCACTCACAACAAGTTCCTTGCATTTTGCTCTGAACAGTTTATGCAATTGGATAACATAAATGTTGTATGACTTGTCTCTCCTGGTCATATGTGTTTTAAATCCATGATACAAGTGTCTTACACTTGACGAGTTATATCCTAGCTCCTTTCTTTCCATCTTTCTCATACCTGTAGCCTAGGACTACCAATAAAAGTTTAAACTTTTTTGATTGGTTCACTTTCTTTCCAAACCAGCATATGACAATTTTGTGAGCAATATGAAATCCATTCTCGGCACAGAAAGACAGAAGAACTCTCTCCTGAGTGAAGAGCTGAGGATGAAGAAGGGATCTGTGGAGAGACTGCGTAGTGAGCTTGAAAATACCAAAGAGCAGTTACAATTTATGAGAGATGAAAAAGGTATCTGCACAGAAAAAGGTCATGCTTTTATTCGGGGCCTTGCAATGTTGTCTTGAAGTCTGTGATAATTAAGGCTATTTCTCGACAAAGGGCAGCGGCCATACACATAGAACATCATCCCTTAAGTTAACCATGTCCTTCATTCTTCTTTATTTAAGATTTTCTGCCATGATTTAGTTTTGCAATTTTTGGTTGTCTAAAAAGAAGAAGAGTCAAGAAGGCTCAAAATGTTCTCCTTGAGTTAATTTGCTTCTGGCAAATAAACTTGCATATGTAAATAATTGTGGATTAATTTCATCAATCTTTAATATCCATACACTGAATAAATTTGAACATTTCATTATAACAGCACTCATAACAAAGTACATGTAACATAAACAAAATTAATTTCTTTTCAACTGGCACTGATTGGGTAATACATTCAAATTTTGAAACAAAAACTCAACTTACAATGTTTGCAAAGTTACAATTTTTCAAATTTGATATTAGACAACAGGTCTTTTTTTTTTTCTGTGCCAGTTGCTCATTAACACTTTTATACTAAATAACACCACTAACTCAACTAGTAGATAAAATGCTACCAGGGTCTTGGAACTCAATTGATGGATTCTATAAAACTTTGCTGTGCTTTCAATGACTTTACTCATGCAGCAGTATACAAGATTACATGACCACTACATTCTGTAACAAAAAAAAAAGAACAAAATATCCATGGAAGCTTTCCTCGCTTGCCTTCTTGGCTTGGGTAGGGAGAAACAGTGATGGATTGTGAACTAAGGGGGAGGGGGGTTGTTAGTTTTGTTTGTGTGTTTACACCTGCCGGCTTTTCTTCCTTCTGCATTTATACTTTTATCCCAAATAAGGGGGGGATGGGCAGGCTCCCCTTGGCTCTCCCTAAGATCCACCTCTCGGAAAGCTCTGTTAAGGAAAGGGGGGGGGATGTTTACCCTGGAGCAGAATCTCTGGTGTTACTTGACATGGCAAGTTAGGAATCGCCCATATCTATGCAATAATTTACTAGTACTGAACGTATTTAGACATTGCATGTTCAGGTCAAGCAGGTTTGGTTTGACATAAATTCTTGACCAGTACATTACCCTGCTGGCAGAGGCGTTTATTTGTTAACTTCCCCTACGGTCCACGTAAAAATAAAGTCCTCTGCGCTAGGCATGTTAAATCCTCTTTGAGCATGCGCCTGGGAATTATCCAAGTTTGTGGGACAGTTTGTGGATAATCTGATTGCAAAACCGGTCAGAACCTGTTTTAAACACGTTTTTATGCGCACGCATCCTATTTAGCTATATAGCAAAACCAAGTGTGAGCTCACAATCCCGGTTATTGGCCGAGTACTACCGGGAACTAATTTGTTTCTAAGCAACAGGCCGCGCATGCTCGAAGAAGATTTAACAGGCCGAGGGCAGAGGACTTTATTTTTACGTGGACCGTAGGGGAAGTTAACAAATTAACGCCTCTGCCAGCAGGGTACTAGTACATAGGCTTGAAATCGACAGCAACTCTTTGAAGATTGTCAGTAGCTATAAATGAACATTTTAGTTACTCTCCACTACTTCGTTGAAGGCTTGCTCAGCCTGCTCAAACAGGTCTTGAAGCATGTTTTGCAAACGGACCGCCTCGTTGAGATCTCTCCGCAACTTTTTCAAAGTTTGTTGCGATAAAACATATGTTCCAGCGTTGACCACTGCAAGGCCAAAAAACGTAGCAATGCTTGCCGCTGCCAACCCCCTAGTAAAGGATGTAACGTTGTTCCAGGTATGGAAAAGTTGAAAACCTTGCGTTCCGGCTGTTACAAGATTGACGACTCCATCAACTGCGGCGTAATCAGCCATGAGATCAACGCGCTGTATTTGGCCATCAATCTTGATTCGCAGGTCGCTGATTTTGGAAAGAGTGGAGGTGAAATGCGTGTTGATTCTTCCCATTTTCAGGGGAATTCCGCGATTGTTCGGATCTCTTTCGCAAGTATCCACGAGTTCTGTGACCAGCTGTTCCATTCTTTGGAGCCTACTGGTTATCATGCTGAACTCACTAGGGTTGCTGTCGATGAGATTTGACGCGCTGGAGATGGTCTTCCAAGCCACGTAGAGCTTCACACATTGAAATACTGCAACGAAGGCTGATCCATAAACCATATCTGTGATTACCTTGTTGCTCTCTTTCTTCTGGAAATCTTTTATCGCGTTTAGAATCGCGTCCTTCGTATTTTGGTGGTCGGTGATTTTGTCCTCTGCAATGCGCTCATACAGTTCTGGCAACGAGCAACCAAGTTTATCCCAGTAATGCTCTAACATGGCCTCTGTAGCATTTTTCTTTTGATAGTCAACAGCTCTGAGGACGGCCTCTTTACCATCTTCTGTTATTTTTCCGAGCATGGCTTCGATGGTGTCAATGTGCTCTCCCAAAGTGCATATCTCCCCGACATTTGTAAGAGCTTGGCGAAACGACCATCCGCTCCGACAGAGATCAAGAACGTACCCGAGTATTTTACCCATGTTTCCTTTACGCTCCTCCTCGGGAAGTTCATCCCGCATCTTCTGTACAGCAGCAGCAGCAGTATCATCCATGTTCACCGATTACGAGCAATCTTGGAAATGAACAAATTTCGAGAATCACGTTTTTTAATTACATTTCACATGGGGAATCCCCGATATGGCGTGACGCAACACTAGATAGTCAGCTATGGGAAGTAATTATCGGCAGCCATCAAGACTTTGTTTCGGTTTCGGGAATTGATCATCGGCAGCAAAAAAAATCCTGGTCCTTTTTGCACTGAAGTCTTCTGGTTCTTTTAAAGTGCGAAAGTGTTATTTAGATACACTTCATTCACAGTTCACCTAACGCTGTCTATATATATATATATATATATATATATATACATGAACATATTTTAAAGATTCTTAGCGTGAATTTTTTTGTCAGAAAAATTTCCCGGACTTCAGCTGTGGTGATTGTATCGGTTTCGGATTGCCGGATTTCTCTCGTCCTCGAGAGAAACAAAAAGTAGTCATCAAAATAGCACAGTTTATAGACATTTCTTCAGTAAAATCCTAAGTTAGTCACACTGTGTTCTAGAAGCCAGAAATTAGGGCACAAAAAGAATGAATCCTATTACGAATATCAAAAGTATTGTTACTTTCTTCCTCTTTCTGCTCTCAAGGGAAATTTCCCCGAGTGACACGTCATACTCATATGATCTTTCGCATTGATTCAGTTAAATTGAGAATATATTTTCGTTTACGATTCGAATTTTCCCGGAATGACCCGTTGCAAAAACAGGCTTTCAGTTAAGTTTTTCTGCATAAGGAGGCAAAAAAATTTGCTGCACAAAATTTCGCCTCCATGCAAACTTTTCGTTGTCAGGCATTAAAAAAATGTCTTAAAGAATTATTTCGTGGTTGAATTAAAAAAAGAAAAACTTCAGTACTGTTTAAGATGAAATATTTAGCCTCTTCTTCAAATCTTACGGTTAAGTGTTATCCCAAATTTTGAAAGCGTTTGCAGGGGAGTCAAGATTTTGACAAAGTTTGTGATTTACGATAGTTATCCCGACCCAAAGGACAATGGAAGAGTGTATTCATGACAAATTTACCTAAACTGTCTCATGAGGCGATGGATTTTCTGTAATAAAGAAACATTTTCAGATATATATATTAACTGGCTCTAACGTTATATCACGCAAAGTGTCACGCAGCCATTAACTCATTCATTCAAATGCAGCAGTTTCCGGAAAAATCGTGAACTCAAAAATATTATGTACTTCTTTCAAAGATCTCTGTACTTTTCCTTTGTTTTTTGGATGTAGAATGTGATGAGTTTACTTAATAAAAAGATCTTTTGAGTTGGGGATAACCGTTTATTTTTGAAAGGAGAACAACGCTTTGATAACTTGTAATTCTTTTCTCCACCTATAACAAGTATATGTGAAGCTCGAGATGTTGATCACATTTTCAAATTTGATAGGGTAACCTCAAATTTTTGTTTGTCTGGGCTAAAAATTCGCCTAAGGACACCGCCATTTTTAATATTGCGATTCAATACTGCGGCAATCTGGTTGGTTCAACAGCCATAGCTCATACCATGGATGCACTGAAAGCAGTCCAAAAGCTAAACGAAAGCAGAGAGGCCAATGACCTAAACAGCGGTTGTTTATTAATCGCGTGTTTTGATTTTTCTCCATCTGTACTGATTTCTGGAACCATATGCGCATCATGATAAAATTCTCAGTACAAGGGTTAATTATTGTAAGTTACTCTGTGCAGGCCTGAAAAAAAAGTAAATAGAACAGTTCGTTGTTTACTTTCACATAGTAAAGTCAGTCTATGTAATGTAGAGCATGCACGACCACATCAGCTTTTGCTGAATTTTTTATCGTGTTTAAATAAATGCTGTTGTTGTTGTTGTTGTTGTTGTTGTTGTTGTACTTCTCGTTTCAGACCGGCATTCAAACGGAGACAGGTTTGTCTAATTGGTCTCTGAAAAACCGCTTCTGTTTGCGTGTGCTGCTTCCGAAACAAGTCACTGTCACCGCTCAAAGTCTCGCTAGTATAAATTTGTGCAGTGTGTTGTTGCTATAAATTCTGTCGTACGCATTAAGATTCTGACGAATTTCCGCCACATCACACAAAAGAAGTGGTAGTTAGGTTTCACGGCTTTCCGCGGCTGTATAAGTTGCGAAGCTCAACATAAAAACTCTCTCGCGCCATCTTCCCCCCCCACCCCTCTCCCCAACCCTAACCTTGCTTTCAAATTTAACTTAAACGCTAACAAGTTTTAGGAGTGTTTTCTTCTCTGTTTGTGTATATTTAATTTTCTTTAAGTTTTAAACAAAAATGATGACAACGCCAAATGAAAAAAAAAAAAAAAAAAAAAAAAAAAAAAAAAAAAAAGGATGAAAAGAGAAATTTATTATTATTGACTCGGCCAGTAAGCCAGATATTATGACAACGTAACTGCAGAGTTGGTTTGTAGTGTTTTTTTTTTTTTCTGTTACTTGCAGCAAATATGGAGAAGCATGGGCAGGAAAAAGGTGAAAAGGAAAAGGATTCTCTTGGAGAAACTTCAGAAACAAATAACAAAGAGCTACAGGTGAACGATAAATTTGATTGATCAATCTCGGAAAATTGGGGTAAAGTTAGAACAGTTTATGATTGTTTATGAGTTATGTAGCCTGTTTGCAGGCGGTAGTTGGAATGCTCGAGATTCAGCGCGGCGAATGTATTCGGTCGCCATACTGGACGTGTGGAAGATCTGGATGACGAGTGACAAGGCGAGGGGGAGGGGGAGGGGGAGGAAGCGAATGCCAGATTATGTGAATGGGAGACGAAGTGGCATCCCTGCTAGCATGCTGAACCCTTGGTCTAGATGTCGGGACTCATGGCGTGGCCGAGCCATTTTCTTGTTTTCTTGGGTAAGACACTCAACTCTCACGGTCCCTCTCCACCCAGGAGTTTAAACGGTTATTAATGAGTTTTCAGGGAAGCCTGATGAAATTTAGGAGGGGAGGGAGGGTAACCTACAATCGACTGGCATCCTATCTAGGGGTACTAACAATACCCCAGCAAGGTCTTAAAAGCCCTACACACCACTCCGATCGATTTTCAAAAGAGCGTCGGAAGTGATTACTTTGGTTTTGCTCAAATTCGCTCTGTGGTCGATCCAAAGAGCTTGCACCTCCTTGTCAACCCATCAGATTCTAAATTACAACCAATCGCGACTTAGTCGCTTGCGTTTTTCCGCGCCTCAAGCCGGTTGCTTGTTGTAACTTTTAGATCTCATCGGCTCCATGTGATATTTTTCTTCGATCTGAATGGCTGTTGTGATTACTATGGTTTTGGTCTTCTGTCACTCAATTGAAATGCCCTTCATTATTATCAAATTTTATGCTGGTTCCTTTTGCATGAAGCGATAAGGAGTCTCGTGTTGACCGCCTCTGATTCGACTTTTAATCCAATGGAATCAGAAAAAAAAATTTTAATTTGTTATGGCAAGGTGATCCTATTCATAAATGCTTGTTGTACTTTTTATTCAATTATAACTTACCATTTTTTCAATTTTTTTGTATTTTCAGCAAATGATCGAAGACCAAAAGAGTGTGATTAATTTTTACTCTCTACTTACGGGAATTTCAATGTCACGAGAGAACACGTGTGAAGATACAAGCTCCTTTAATAGCTTCAATTGCATTTTCTTTCCTGCTGAGAAAACAACTCATCGTAAGTATGATCTGTGAGGAATAATAATAATAATAATAATAATAATAATAATAATGATAATTTACCAATTTATATAGCGCGTATTTACATATGCTGATCAATAGCGCTTTACAATCATATGTTTAAGCAAAAATACATTACTGAACGATGAACGATTGCTTTAATGAATAAAGAGGATGAGTTTGTAAAGAAACCGTGGTGCTGCTTCGGCGGGAGTAACAAGTTAATTTGGTTTTGATCAACTGAGTTGATAATGTAAACTGGTCACCGTAAAAAGTTTCAAAGCTGACGTTTCGAGCGTTAGCCCTACGCCAGAGCAAATGGAAGAACTGTAGGTTGTGTGTGTGTTTATATGCAGAAAGTGGACTGAGCTACGCTATTGGTGGGAACATGGTAGCTTTAAATGGCCTCAGTAAAAGGTTTATTTTCAGGTTGAAACCTATGCTAGACTTCCACCGCTCTCTCGGGTCCGGCCTTTTTCTTTCCTCCCCGAGAAGAGTCTCTTCGGGTAGGAGCGTGGGCTCCGGTTCCCAAACAGCGGCTGGTGATCGAGCCTAATTGAAACCCATTTGCTTGTTTGTTTGTTTGTTTTTTAACACATTTATTCATTCAAAAACACAAAACAACATTTTACTTACTTGACTAAAGATACGATATTTACTGAATTGCGCACGCATTTTGATTGGTTCTTACTTGTGGTCTATTGGAGGTCAAACGCATAGATGACGTCACCATTAACAACTATTTGCTTCTTTATTATATGAAGCAACTAGACTCCATGTTGCCGTGGCTTTCTACTGCAATAGATGACAGATGATGTCCAATCTGATAAAAACATCAGTAACACGTAACACACTTGGCTGCACCTCTTGTGCTACTTTTTGACCTCATCTGTGAGCTAACTAAAAAGACACACAGCAACATGGAATCCATTCGTTAATGGTTAAGAAAAGCTCTTCTTTTCCTCCTTTCAAGCGCTGTTTACCAGTGCATAAAATCTTTCTACAACACTCGGAAACGATTAATTATTTCCTTTTGTGTGTCCTTGTGTGACGTATTTGTCAGGATCTCTTTCTTGTCGCTCGAAGACGTCAAAATCGCAAAATGGCGCTGACTTTTCGTTACTAGTACTTTACCACCAGTCGTGTGATTTTGTTTTTCGACGCAACAGTGGTTCAGGACAAGCGAGGCATTTCTATACAGAAAGTGAGGTCCTTCNCGTTCTTTTTCTTCTCGTTCGCAGTGTCTTTTATCTTCTACTCTCGGAGCAACATTGGTCCCAGGTTGCTGTTTGCCCTCAAGTCCTTCTCCCTTTGTAAACTAGCAACTAGCGTTTGGCAGGCTACGCCTTGCCCTTTGCCTTAAAAATTTCGTCCTTACACTACGTGTGTTCTTATGTTATTCGTGTTACAACCTTTTTCTTGTTTCCCACTGACAGGTTTGCAGTTTAGGTTGACTCACGACAAAGAATTTGATGAGATTGAATACAGTCCCAACCCAAAGAGCCCTGGTTCCGAAGATCATCTGCTGCACTTGCCCAATTATCTCCAGGATAATATGTTTTTCGGTTCTGATCAGGCTTCGAATTTTCTGGAAAAATTGCTCAAGACAGTTAAGGAGTAGAAGTGTAGTGTGACTTTAGTTATTAACCAGTTTAAAGCAGGCTATTTTTTTTTTGTATCAGCGCTTCGTCACTAGTTTGTCTTTGAACGCAGGAAATTTATCGTCACACCCAGGCATACCTCTCCCTATTTGTCTCAAATCCAGGTGTGCAAGGGGATCCGGTACTGATAATGATTAGTGCCAGACCCCTGGCAAACCTCTCCCGCTCGTCTTCCCGCGGGCGGAGAAACGCGCGTAGTGCAGCGCAGGCTACCAGTTTGTTTAGTTTAAAACAGTCATTTGGTTTTAAAACTTTTTTTTTCTTTGATACAAATGATCCAAGAAACCTTTCAAATTAAGAATCTGATAGCAAATCTTCCAATCACTTTTGAATCAGTAATTTTGAGTAGTGCTTCTTCGCTTGATTCAGATAGTCTTCAAGGACCGATCATGATTCATCGCAAGGGGGTGAGTTCGGAGGATTTTTGTTACGTCGCAGTAAAATTTAAGGCTCTAGGCTCTGCATCAATTTTTGTACAGTCCCCCCCCCTCTACGTTCTAGTTCTCTGTTGTCGACTAGCCCCCCCTCCCTCGTTCCCCCTGAGACCATGTGATCTTGCCAAAAAATCCTCTCTTCTCCTCCCCAGACAGTAAGTAATGAGTGGTCCCTTAGCTATTTACCAGTTTAGAGTAGTTATTTGGATTTAAAACTGTCTTTTGTCCGATACAACTGATGCAAGAAACTGTTCTCAGTGCAAGTTTAGAGTAACGCCTCCTTCCCTTCATAAAAGTAGTCTTTAGTAAATATGCTTTGAAAAGGAAGCTAGCAAAACTTTAGAATTGTCATTTTGTCTTCAAAACTTGACTTGTTTTCTTTACAAATCCATCTCTGTAACTTGATATCGATTTCATTTTTGAAATGCCGGAAACTTAGCTCCTTTCGGACACATATGGCATTCCTCTGACTTTTTCAAATCAATACTTTATTCGATTCTTTCTTTCCCAGTGATGTTTGTTTTATTTTTAAGCGATCGTTGCTTGTTTGTTTTTGTTTTTCTTGTTTTTAACATTACAAATATTTTAATGAATTTGTAGGTTTGATATCACAATAGTCAGTCAAGTCTGATTAGTTAATAATCTGAGTACTCACATTCCATCCTGCAATGTTCTGTTTTTTTCTCGTCGCATGTCTCACTGGTGGAAGGGTGACACACCCGTAGACACCAGGTCCGTTTTGTTTGTATTTTGTTTTTTTATTTGTTCGTTTATTTTTTGTTGTATTGAACGCCAATGTAAATAGAAACCAAGTAGGCTCTGTGAAAATAGGCACTATTTAAAATGGGTATTAATATCACTTTGTCGGGCAGCATCGCCGCTTTGCGGGCTAAAATGGTGACTTTGACGATTCCTTAATTGTTCAGACTTTTTTTTTTTATATATCTTTTTTCTTTTTTTGTTCTCAGTGCCCTCCAAATTGATACTAATAGTAATACACTTTGCTTTCGTGGGCTTAAATGCATTTTACATGGGCTCTTCTCTTTTGGGTCGGGCCCAGAACACATTTATGCCCGCGAGCTTAAAATTAAACCATTTTAGTACCACCAATGAAAAAACCTCCCACGACGCTGCTTTTGTAAAAATCACTGCTTTGGAGATTTTTTAC